AGTACGTCATATGCTTCGTTGATCTGATTGGTTTATTTGGCCCGTCTATCACCAACATAGGCCAATCAGCTAACCAGTATTTTCGCCCCTTCCCAAAATTACTTCTACGAAAAGTTACCAGATGGATATGCGGAGCAAATCCATCTGGCGGAGTCAGGTTACAAACCTACAGGATTAACAACAATGAATTGTGTACCATTATTGTTGGAAACAAATATTTGTAAATGGAAATAAATAAATAAAAAAAATACAGAAATGTATCATTGATAAAAAAAAGGGTTTTTAGATAACAGTTTCCTCAGACATTTTTTAAAATAATTTATTTCTAAATATTTTTTTTTATTTAATTTTTATTTTTAAAATGTATTTTTTTCAAAAATGTATAGAATTCATATTTGTATTTATTTATTTTTTTTACAGATATCACTTTTTAAGATTTTCGATGACTCACAAACTTTCTCTGTGAGAATTTACCAATTTACCAATAAATACCGTTGTTGCTAACGCTGTGTTGACCAATAGAAATGCGTCTTGAAGATAAAAGCCCGCCCTAAGACGTGTGAAGAATCTGATATGTAAAAAGCAGTTTGACACGGCGCAGCAGTGGCAGAAAAGAGTTTCTGGTATAGGATGTGAAAGTTTGCGTGGCATCTGGTTGGTCGCTGGTTTGAATCCCATTTCTTTCATGGTATCTTTGGGCAACATCTGACTTGAAATTATGCAATGCTCTTTTAGTAGCCCTCGTCTATGGCAACCTGGCTTCAGCCAGCGTGCCCCAAGGCAGCTGTGGCTACAATGTTTCGTCAAACAGCCTGAAATTAATGCTGATGCTACTCAGCAATACTTACCGGTATTCATCAGAAGAGCAACAGCAATGTCTTGTTAGGTTTGGTCGGTGGGTGTCCAACTATTTATTTTCTGACATAATTTACAAATGAATTCTTTAAAAATTTTATTTCCTTTATTTTTTGTATTTTTTCCTAGCTAAAGTGATGATGGATGATCATTACGGTGGCAGACTGAATACTTTTTGGCCCAGCTGTGGTATTTCTCTGACAGGCCTCTACAATTAAACAGTCCGTCTGTCTTCTTGGTAGTGATTGAGAGCGGCTGTTTTGTTGAACCTTACCTTGTTTGAAGCCATCTCGCTGACAGAGTGTCGCGTTTTCAGCGTCTCTAGTTGTTCCAGACACCAATCCAGCTCATCTAGAGTCTCTATGGCCAACTGCTGGTGAGGCTCCTCTGCTCAACATATGAAAAAGAAGAAGAAGAAAAAGGGCATTAAGCCATGGAAAAAGCCCCCTAAATAGCCCCCTCTTAGGACTTTAACTTCTGGATAAACAGAAAGTAGTCATGGTGAACAAAAATGAAACACGTTTATCAAAAAGCTAATAGGAGTGGCATCCATTTGTCTGACTTCCAGTCTATACAATTCCTTCTCTGATGCAGAGCATCATTTGTTCTGCAGAGAGTGTGATTGGTTGCAGTCATCCCTGTCTTCAAGAACTGTACACTTCCAGGACTCTGAGGTGAGCAGGAATGACTGTAGCTTAGCTCCTCCCACCCTGGACACAGGCTGTTCCAGCCCCACCCCTCTGACAGGAGGCTGAGGTCCATCAGGACTAGAACATCCCATCTAAAAAACTGCTTCTTCCCATCTGCAGCTATCCTCATTACCAAGGCTTAGGTCCTCTGACTGACATTTTCTAGTTGGAACATTGTACTGATACATGTTAATACCATTTATACTGTTTTTGTTGTACAGAAGGAGCATGGACTCATGCGTGTTATATTAGGACTTTGCTTATGTAGTTTATGGGTCCATGCTGGCCATTCGATTTTGAAATGGCAAATACAAAATTGGGACATAAACTGTTTCCTGTTTTAACACTAAAACTAAAACAAAAACAAAAAAAAAAGTTGTGGAGCTGGTTGACAAGTTTCTTCGTATCTATGCTTCTTTTTCTATGTCTGCTTCTGTCTCCTTGAACGGCAGTCGGCCTCAGCAGATGGCCGCTCACACTGAGCCTGGAGGTTTCTTCCTGTTCAAAGGGAGTTTTTCCTCTCCACTGTCGCTACAAGCATGCTTAGTGTGACGGATTGCATCCGAGTCAATGAGTCGATGCAATCAACTGGTTTTCCTTAGATAGAAAACTTTGAATCAATCTGACTGGATGATCTGGTGAACTGGAAAGTTCCAAGTAAATTGAATTTAATTGAAAAAAAAAATTGAAAAACAAAAAAGAAGCCTGTTTTTTTTTGCTTGTAAACAACAAATGGGTAAAAAAAAAAGAAAAAAAAATCAACCCATTATTTGTTTTTGAATTCCAATACGAAAAACTAAAAATAAAAAAACAAATCTAGACGTCCTTTCATTCCTCAGTGCGTCCACACCAGTGTAGATGTTGTACAATACAAAAACATATTGGTGGTTACTCCAAATAAACCTCCTCCTTATTATTGTTATTACCGTATATAAGAAATTTTAGCAGTAAACCCGCTCTACAACCAAAATAAATAAAAATAAATAAATAAATAAATAACAAGGACACCAACACATCAGCTAATTTGTAAACAGTAAAGCTCTGGACCAGAAAGTAAACATGAGCCTCATGGCTGTCCATCAGATCTTTATAGCTTCTTATTTCAATTGTCTATTGACAATGAAATCACCAAACTGACAATAATAACTATAAA